CTTCCTCCCACCTATCCCCTCCTCCCACCTCAAGCCCCACCCCCATCTCCTACCTACTAACCTCATCCCGCCCCCTTGACCTGTCCGTCCTCCCTGGACTGACCTATCTCCTCCCTACCTCCCCACCTACACTCACCTTTACTGGCTCTATCCCCGCCTCTTTGACCTGTCTGTCTCCTCTCCACCTATCTTCTCCTCTATCCATCTTCTATCCGACTCCCCCTCTCTCCCTATTTATTTCAGAAACCCCTTCCCCTCCCCCATTTCCGAAGAAGGGCCTAGGCCCGAAACGTCAGCCTTCCTGCTCCTCTGATGCTGCTTGGCCTGCTGTGTTCATCCAGCTCTACACCTTGTTATCTCAGATTCTCCAGCATCTGCAGTTCCTACTACCACTGACATTCCTTTGTTCTTTGCTGGACAAAGTGGCCCATAACCACAGGAAACAGCAGAGATCTGGCCCAGGACAGTTGCACCTCCACTAACAGAGCCCCGAGAGCAGGCAGTGCCCCATATCATAGGGCTGGCTACAGCCAAGCCCATTGTTCCTGGAACTGCTGAGAACATTCAGGATGATAGCATGACCCTGCCTTATGGCCTTTCTGACCTCACTCTCATCCTGCAATCCAGCAGGATGTGCAAAATACAGACTGTACCAATAAACATGCTGTGTTCCAGCCCCTGTGCAGATGCACTTCCTTATTATAGGTGGGACCCAGAGCTGATTGTATAGTTGACTGTAGCCTGCACCATTTGAGAATGCTACCAATCATATGCTCCATCCTTCTTTCTGGTCAACGAAAGCACTGAAATCACCTATCTCTAGCATCCATCACTGCATCAGGGAGGTACCTGTGCCCAGCAGGAAGGAGCCACTGGTGTTGAAGCTAAAGGCCACTAACAGTGCCATTATCAATCCTCTGTGTGGTTGCAGTATATAGTACTATTCAGTCACTTGCTGGAGACAGTGTTCCTCAAAGGCTTGTGGTGAGCCAAATCTCTCCCTCAGTGCAGATTCCCCTCTCTGCTACTCATGCATCACTTGCTTCAACAATCAAAAGCACCTCATTTGAAATTTGGTGGTTTGCCCTTTATTAAGCATGAGGAAAGTCAGGGAGCGAGTCCCTCACATACTCGACTATGTTCATCAAGGAGTAATTAAAAGGTGTTAAACTTGACTGACTTTTATTCCAATGCTACACGTACATATTTTTTTCCACCTTGAGAATTCACTTATCCAGATCATCTCCCCATCTCAAACATCCTGGCTGACCTGGTTTCAGCCAAAGCCAAAATCTGCATGCTTATTAGTGTGGTTCCACTTTGAGCATTTAACTTCTTTTCTAAATTTCTGAACATTTCTATTTTCACTTTGAAATTTCCACCTGCTCAGTCCCTACTGTCTCATGCTCTCCACCCTTCTTACGTTACAATAGTGACAACTTTTCAAAAGTACATTATGTGCTTACAGGGTACCCCAAAAGCCAAAGAATATCTACAGAAATGCAAACTTCTTTATACTTAAGTTTTTAAATGACTGCTGATTCAACCACAACACTCTTCTCCCCATCGATATTTTCACCTAACATCTCTTGGACTCTGCTTTATGTGCAAACTCTAATGCTCTCCATCTTCTCCCTGCTATGGCTTAGAGGAAGCTTTGACTTCCACATGAACCTTTGACTTCCACCTGAACCTTATGCATCGTTCCCACTTCTCTATAAAGTTGGCCTGTGCAAGGGGAGTACTGTTCTCATATTTTGGAATTCTTTTCTAATACTATACATACAGCTGTCTGTCTGAAAGGTGACTTTTTTTTTTCCAGCTAAGCTTTCCTTATCTCTTTATTCTGTCAACACTATTGTGGTTGCTGCACTTCCAACCTCTTCTGTTCTATCCCTCAATTAGAAAGAATAATTTCCTACACATTCCTTCTCACCGCATTCTCAATAAACTGACATTTAGATTACTTCTATTGTCTTCCACTCATAAGTCTCTTTTTCTCAGAAGCTTAAAACTATGGAACTCATCTTCAATAACATTAAGGATCACCCAGACTCAATTTTGCATGAACTAGTGGCTACTTCTCAATTTATCTTGCATCTTCTTCTGATCTTTCAATTGTTTTTTGGTGTCCACAGCTTTGCGATTTCGTCCTTTATCTCCATTTGTCATTTTTAAAAAAAAGCACCATCAACAGAGTCCATGCCCACAAGCAACCAGCTTAGTGGTGTATTTTATTTCCTTAATACATGTATGGAATTTGTACACTTTCTTCAGAATGCATTTTTGTTTATAATTCATAACAGATTTTCAGACTAATGAAAACAGTGTCATTTATTCAGATTTAATCAGTTATAAAACTGCCTTGAATGCAAAACAAGGCCTAAGGCAAGAAGTGCACTTTATGTTAAACAGAAGAACATAGCAAAGTGAATACCAACCAAGTACAATTGGTTTAGCATTAATCTTACAAGCAAATGCATTAGGATAAATACAAATGTACAGATTGAGCAGACTGTCTCAGTCCAGTACCATTTTCTTGTATGTGTTTATTTCAACACAGAAATAATTAACTTGTACAAAATCTGGATACTGCTCAGAGTACAATATTTAAAAGAAAGGAAGAAAATATGACCACAGTGAGTTTCCATCCAGAAACTTGGTGACAATTGAATAAGGCACTATAAACCCAAATGTAACCAAATGATTGGCTGTTAACCCACAGTCAAACTCCCAAAGGGGAACTGTTTCTCATATAATCACAGTTTCCTGCAATGAGTGAATGTCTTTCAGAAGAATCTCCTGTCTGAACTACAAACAAAGCATTGGATCAGTTTGGAGACCATAATAGTGGCATTGATGAATCCATGACAGTGGCATTGATTACATCATGATAGTGGCATTGATGGGACCATGATAGTGGCACTGATGAAATCTTCAATCATATTCCATGCAACGCGAGTACATCTAGCAGAAAATAACCAAGAGAGTTTTATTTCCTTTCTTGATTTTTTTTGTAGCTGGCATATCCTTTTGACAGCAGCAGAATTAAGCTTCTAAGAGGATAGCTTAGCGGTGCAAACGGTGGAGTGTCGGGACCCTTCACAAAGCAGTGCTCTCTGAGTCATTGTCAATGTCTTGCTGCTCATGTTTTCCGAGTTCCAAGTTCCCTGCAGCAGGCATTAACTCCACAGGCTGGTTCGAGTCCTGCTCTTGCACAGTAGAATCAGAATCTAGCAGCAAACACAAAACATCAGTGATACCCCAAGAAACACAAGTGGCCAGGACACCATTCCAAGATGGCTATCTCACCTCTGAAACCTCCACCATTACAACAGGGGTGATGGCTTTAAAGGCACACATCAATAGCTAAGTGAGTAGTGCACACTGTTGGAAACCTAACCTTTGATTAACTAAAAGAGAACATTCCTACAACTTCACTACATAGCCAGTCTACATATCTTCTGGGGATGATGCATCACTGACCTGTACTTATAGTATTTTCCATACTTAAACTTGTGGTGATATAGCACCCTCCTACTCTATAACTTTTGGCATTAATAGGATTTATAAAGTAGTTCACAACATTATACAGAAATGAAGCAACTGAATTGCTGTCATTTGCACATTAACCACTGAACAACCCAACTGAATATTTTCTACAGTGTATTTAATTCAGGGTGTATGCAGGCATTTTCTGATGGCTGACAATCCTCTTTACCCATGCATTATTAGTACAAGTGCAGGCAAGCAGTGTGATGAATGGTTAGTAGAAGACTGGGAAGCATGCATTAAATTGGCATTGGATTAGCAGGATTAATTGGCCAATCACTTGCCCATGTCTTACCATTAACTTTCCCCATTCTGCTCAAACAGTACTTTCCTGGTCAGACATCTGCATTTTTTAATGGAATAGTTTACAATTAGAAGCCATAATCCTAAAAAGGCTTTTTCATATTGGTGGACAACCACACAGTGTCTGCATATTACACATACTGTGTGTGCAATATCTAACAGCTTTGTGCCAATTATAGTAGAGGGGTGCCAACTCTGATACACACTATCCACTATTGGTAAGGATCAACCTGTTCTTGGATGTAGTTTTTCTCATGTGACAGTCACTGAAGACTTGTAAGGGTCCAGCAGCCTACAGGTACAACCATCAGCTAAAATTTAAATTTTGCCACAGCGGGGTGGCATGAAGAAATTCTCATTCTGCTACTTAAATTCAAATCTTCTGACATCAATTAGTTAATCTAGTTTAATCTCAACAAATATTCTGTGAATGATGGATTTAAAATTAAACAAACAATAAAGCACCAGGATCGACAGACATCCAGGTATACTGATGAAAGCAATTGCTTTTCCTGCCTAGCACAAGTATCACCTCATCTCACTAAATGAAAAGGCAGCATTAATAGGCAGAGTATCAAAGTTTCACGGGGTAGGAAACATTGCAGATGCAGATAACGATGCATGCAAACTCTTTTAGAATTATACTTTGTGAAAAGATATGTGAGCATTTATTTATAAGATTTTATTTGCTACACATATGCTTTCTCTGGTCAGAATATACTTGCTAGCAGCAAATTGCATCCAATAGTTTGATCCAAATACAGGAAAAATGCAAATTACAATACTTCAAAAAAGTTTTTTTTTGAGAATTTTCAAGTATAAATTTTGACCCTAAAAAGGGAAAATAAGATTTGTTTTATAATTTAAAAACTAAAATATTTTAAACATTCTAATTCACTATCTGCCCTCTTCGTTTAATTTTCTATCATTTTAATCTTATTTGTGCCTATCCGATGCTGACAATATTTATTCTATTGTGAAGTTCAATAGGTTTCATTAAATTTTTTTACTGATTTGTTCAGGTACCACATTTAAAGAAAAACTGGACATAGGAACAATGGGTATGAATTTCAAGATTGCACTTTCAGTAAATTGAGGCTTAGCAGTCAGCAATGTGAGAAGGTTTACTTCTATTGTGATCCTGATTGCCTAAATAAAATCACCTTGAGACATGCATAACTAATCTGGAGTTAAGCACAAAGCTTGATCATGATATCTCAGCATTGTACAGGAGATGTTAATAAACAAATTCACTAAAACATTTAAGTTGAGTATAAGTCACTGGGAATTTGCTGGCCCAGAACACCCTCTGAGTTATTATTGGGTGTAACTGTAGTCTTTAAACATCCACAATTCTCTGAGATAGTAGGAACTGCAGATGCTGGAGAATCTGAGATAACAAGGTGTAGAGCTGGATGAACACAGCAGGCCAAGCAGCAACAGAGGAGCAGGAA